TTTTTCTGATGCGAAATATCCATCATTAAATATTTAACTAGAGAATTAATCAAAATGAATACGTTCCTTCATTGTTATATTAGTTGGAAATTCATACCCCTAAATCTGAATCTTATCGCAATCATTTTTCAAAATCGGGAAATTATAATCAAAAAAACAAAAACTCAGTTCAGCCGAATATATTTTATTTAAAGGTTTTCTTAGCAGGAAACGAGTTAAGATCAAAATTATTTTTAGATATTCACGATAAAAGTGAGTAAAAAAAGTGCAATTTTTTAAAATAATAAGAAGATGTTTATTGAAGATAGTTGGGGGTTATTGAAATTTATTGCTGGTTACGGAGAACAGCCTGAGCAGCAGCCAAACGGGCGATTGGGATACGGAATGGGCTGCAAGAGACGTAGTTCATGCCGAGGCGGTGGCAGAAGTCGATAGACTTTGGATCACCACCGTGTTCACCGCAGATACCGACAGAAAGGTCTGGGCGTGTAGCACGGCCATCCTCGACGGCGATCTTCATGAGGCGGCCGACACCGTTCTGATCGATTGTCTGGAATGGTGAATCCTTGAAGAGACCCCATTCGTAGTAGTTCTGGAGGAATGAGCCTTCAGAGTCATCGCGAGAAAGACCAAGTGTCATCTGGTGGAGATCGTTTGTACCGAATGAGTAGAATTCAGCGAGTGTAGCGATCTGGCCGGATGTGAGAGCAGCACGTGGAATTTCGATCATTGTGCCGAACTTGCAGTGGACCTTGATGCCGTGTTCCTTCTGGACCTTCTCGAGGATCTCGTCGTATGTTGGCTTGATGCGCTGGAGTTCAGAGACATCCATTGTAAGTGGAACCATGATCTCTGGAAGTGGGTTAGCGCCTTCCTTCTGAGCGATGGCAACACCCTGGAGAATGGCGGAGATCTGCATCTTGACGAGGCCTGGGATAACGAGGCAAAGACGGACACCGCGTGTACCAATCATTGGGTTGGATTCGTGCATTGACTTAGCCTTGGAAAGGAGCATTTCCTTCTCAGCGAGCATCTTTGGATCGTATGGAGCGCCGAGTTCCTTGCGTGTGCGGAGGACTGTAACTTCCTCAAGAAGCTGGTCGTACTCTGGAAGGAATTCGTGGAGTGGTGGGTCGATGAGACGGATGATTGTTGGAAGGCCGGACATGGACTTGAACATCTGGACGAAGTCTTGTGTCTGGATCTTCTCGAGCTCATCGAGAGCAGCATCACGCTCTTCTGGGCTCTCAGCAAGGATCATTCTGCGTACGATGACAGCACGGTCGCCAAGGAACATGTGTTCTGTACGGCAGAGACCGATACCTTCAGCACCGAATTCGATAGCACGCTGAGCATCAACTGGAGAGTCAGCGTTAGCCCAAACCATGAGACCGCGTGTTGGGCCGTGGTTGATGGACTTGCGGCCACCTTCACGAGAACGGATTTCATCAGCCCACTTGAGGATTTGCTGGAGATCCTTCTGATCGTTGAGGTTTGGCTTTGTGAGTGGGATAGCACCCTTGAATACTTGGCCTGTTGTGCCATCGACGGAGATGACATCGCCTTCGTGGAGTGTGACACCGTTGGATGTGACTGTGAGAGCATCGAAATCGATGTGGAGACCTGCGCAGCCAACGACAGCTGGGAAGCCGAGCTGACGAGCAACGACAGCAGCATGGGAAGCAGCACCACCTTCAGCTGTGACGACACCCTTGCCGACGAGCATGCCACCGATATCATCTGGCTTTGTGAACTGGCGGACCATGATGACGTCTTCGCCTTCCTTAGCCTTCTTCTTGCACATTTCGGCTGAGAAGTAGATCTTGCCGACACCAGCACCTGGGGAAGCGTTGACACCCTTTGTGAAGAGGTTAGACTGGGCGTTCTTGACATTGTTAGCGTTGAAGTGTGGGTGAAGGAGTTGGTCAACTTCAGCTGGGCTGATTCTGTTGACAGCCTGCTCCTTTGTGATGAGGCCTTCGTTTACCATATCAACTGCAACCTTGACTGCGGCTGTGGCTGTACGCTTACCATTACGTGTCTGAAGCATCCAAAGCTTGCCTTCTTCGATTGTGAATTCGACATCCTGAAGATCATGGAAGTGGTTCTCGAGCTTCTGTGTGATAGCGACGAAGTCCTTGTAAGCCTGTGGGATCTTCTGTTCGAGGGATTCGATCTTGTCGGCTGTTCTGACACCAGCGACGACATCTTCGCCTTGAGCGTTGATAAGGTATTCACCCCAAAGCTTGCGTTCGCCTGTAGATGGATTACGTGTGAAGGCGACACCTGTAGCTGATGTTTCACCCATGTTACCGAAAACCATGGACATGATGTTGACAGCTGTACCGAGATCGTGTGGGATCTTGAAGTTGTTGCGGTAGTCGATAGCACGCTCGCAGTTCCATGATGAGAAAACGGCGAGCGTAGCCATCTTGACTTGTTCGATTGGGTCTTGTGGGAACTCACTGCCTGTTTCCTCAAGGATGATCTTCTTGTACTCCTTAGCGAGTTCATCCCAATCCTCAGCCTTGCAGTCGTTATCGCCCTTGTAGCCCTTGGACTTCTGCATGTTGTGAAGAGCGGCTTCGAACTTCTCGTCTGGGATGCCAAGAACGATGGCACCGAAGCCTTGGAGAAGACGACGGTATGAGTCGTAAACGAAACGTGGGTTGTTTGTAAGCTTGATCATAGCTTGGACTGTGACATCATTGAGACCAATGTTGAGAACTGTGTCCATCATACCTGGCATTGAGATCTTTGCACCAGAGCGGCATGAAACGAGAAGTGGTTTTTCAGCTGAACCGAACTTCTTGCCAGTCATTTCTTCGAGACGAGCAATGGCCTTTGTCTGTTCTTCCCAGAGGCCTGGTGGGTAGGCTGGTGGGTCCTGCTTGTAGAAATCGTTGCAAGCTTCTGTTGTGATTGTGAAACCCTTTGGAACTGGAACGCCTAGTTTAGCAATCCAGGCAAGGTTACCACCCTTGCCACCGAGGAGGCCGAGAACTTTGTCGCGATCGCCACCGACGCGTTGCTCAACCTCGCCAACTTCTTCGAAGAAGTAGATATAGCGCTTAGCCATATTACTATAAAAGTGAACTCATTATTCCCATTTTCAATTCCTGATGGAGGAAACGTAAATTTTTCAAAAAATTGAGAAGGTCATTGAATTGTTCACAAGTGCTTAAGCCAATTGAGTTTTTGGGGTTTAATTTATGAATTGGGGATAAAAAATGTATACACAAAATTGTGTACCGTAAATTTTGTGAATGTCAGGCTATTTAAAATAGAAAAATTTAACAGGTTGAATTCCCTAAGGCCATCAAGCACTTATTAATGTGTTATTTCAGTTTCTCATTTATCCCCTAGTCTGAATTTAGTTAACAAATTTTTTCAGCATTTTTTGATGATTGATCGATGAATATTTCCTTTCAAAATAAGTATAACTAAATTCCTGTGGTTCAGCAAGGTGATATTTTCATGTTTTTAGTGTTGACCTAATGATCATTCAATTGTTTCTGAGGACGTCACTTGGCCAGATCTAAATCAACTTTGATTGGTCAATCAAAAATGAAACAGTAGGATCTACATGAATATTACTGTGTGAAAAATGTATTTTTCCAAGAAGTTGCAACTTTAAATTTGGGGTAAGAAAATTAATTCATGAAATGAGCAATATTTATTATTAATATTCTAGATATTAGAGTTTTCGGATAATTTTTTGCAACCAAGTGGTTCGAACCGAAATAATCTATTTTTATTTGTTGATTTGAAATGATCATACGATTCTATTTCAATTAATAAACACATTTGTTTAAAATATCTCTTCTGATTTTTCCAAATTTTTGAGAAAAATCGAATTTTATTCTAAAATGCCTAATTTTTTGCTTTTATTTCGGTTGATTCAATTTTATCAGTTCATCTTTTTGCTGTTTTCTCCATTTTCAAGCATATTTCGCTCAATTGAATATCATAACTCAAATGCCTATGGCATGCTAGAGAACACCATCGCATGCTAATCAGAATTTTCTCTCCTTCAAATTCGATGATATATCTGGTCAGTCCAAAAAGTTGATTTCATTCCGCACGCCTTTAATGGATTGCTGATGAGCAATACAAATCTCTACAGAGATGCTTAATTACTCGGGTTCAATATCTGCGAAATCATTTCGTCATAATCCTAACGAAAAAATGTCAAGGAAGATATCACATTAAGTATTTCATTCTATTCCTCGCATTTAGAATCTTTCCTTTTTTGCCCTTAGAATATTTTTCGGATTTTTAAGTGTCACTCCAAATGTTAACACTTTATTCATATACACTTTTCGTTAATTATCATTACAAAAATCATTTAACATTAGCATTCATGCCAAATACGACTTTTCATCGAGTCCATGATTTCTCACACGCCTATCGGCGTGGACAATTCTACCATACAAAAAGAGCTGAGAATAAGCTATTTCATATTTCCAGCTTTTTTGCTATTAGTACGTAAAAAAATTAATGTCCTGAAAAAGTAAAGATAAATTCATTTTTACTACGTATTACTTTTTTTATTTCACATTGTAAACAGGTCACTGCACTACGTGACTGTATTTCTCTATCTTTTCATCATTTTTATTGGTTCCAGGTAATAGTGACATTCTACGAGTAATGGAGTGAATGCTTTTCATAACTAGGCATTTTGAAACTTGAACTCCAAGAAGAGGGTTCAAAAGATTGATTTTACTAATAATTTAGGTTTTGTAAGCTTATAATATCTAGAGTTGCTTGAGACTAGTAATTTTTATGCGATATTTCAGAGTTCTGTTTTGAAATAACTTACTTTCATTTTTCGGAATTGTAAAATTCAATTTTGGATCATTGTTTTCTCCATGACAATATGCCCGAAGTTCAAATGTCATTCCCAACTTCTCTTATTTTTTTATAAGAGTTTTTTTATTGTTGGTCGAACAATGATCAATTTAGACGATCAAATTGTCACTTTTATTACAATTTAAAAAATGTCTCTCTGGAAAGAGATCAAGAATAAAAATATTGAAGAGGTTAAAAACATAATTAACCAGGACAAATCACTTGCCTATTCCGTCGATGATAACGGCATGACCATATTAATTGCTTCTGCTAAAGCTGGTTCTTTAGATTTGATGCAATATTTTATCAAACTTGGAATTGAACCACTTTCACTCACTCCAAACGGTTCTGATATTCTGACAGCAGCTGCATCCGTCGGATCATTAGAATGCTTTGAATATTCATTGAGTTTAGGTGCAAAAATCGATAGAAAACGTGAAGACGGAACAACAGTGATGATTTTTGCTGCTAGTGGTGGAAATCCAGAAATAATAAAGAAATGCATTGATGCAGGCCTTGATGTTAATGAGCGTTCAAAAGGATTGTCAACACCTCTTATAGAAGCTGCAAAGAAAGGATCATTAGAAAGCTGCAAAATTTTAATTGAAAATGGCGCAGATGCAACTTTGAAGCAGAAAAACGGATTTTCTGCTTTGAATGGAAGCTGCATTAGTGGCAATTATGACTTATTTATGTACTTAACAACCAAGATGCCTCTTGAAGAAACAAACAAAGGATCATTAGTTCATGACGCAGTTATTGGAAACAACACAGATATTGTTGAATTTCTTATCAACAACAAATTCGATTTAAACACGAAAGTAAAAGGAAGATATCCAATTCACTTAGCATGTATGAAAGGTAATTTAAAGATGGTCAGATTGCTACTTGATAATGGTGCAAAGTTACAGAATTGTGACGCAGAAAACACTCCACTTCATTATGCAGCTGAAAGTGACAAAGTTGAGACATTCGATTTCATTCTTTCTAAGACTAAAGACATCAATCCAAAGAATGTTTTGGGAATGACTCCTTTGTTACAAGCTGCTGCAGCTCATGCATTTAATGTTTGCAAGTATATCATTGCAAAAGGCGGAGATATCTTTGCATTAGATAATAAGAACCATGGAATATTGCATTATGCAGCTACACATTGCGATACTGGTTTCTTAGATACACTTGATATGCTCAGTGTCGATTTTAACTTAGAAGATATTTCTGGAAAAACACCTCTCTTCTCAGCAGTCGAATGTGGAAATATGGATGTAATAAAATACTTTGTAGAAGAAAAATATGCCGATTTGAAGAAGAAAGATAACGAAGGCAAAAATCTCTTCCATAATATTTGCAACAACGTCAATGTTTGCGAATATTTATTAGCAAATGGAGTTGACCCAGCAGAAAAAGATGAAAATGAAGCTACCCCTCTGCATTATGCTGCAGAAAGTGGAAAAATTGATATAATTCCATTCTTTTTATCTCATGGATGCAAGGCTGATGATAAAGATGCCAATGGAATGACACCTGTCGACCTTGCTTCAGACTTTGGCCACATCGAATGCTTTGAATTATTAGTTGATTCAGTTGAAACACCAGAACATCATGAATAAACATCTCCTATCTACATAATATACTTTAAAATAATAATATCTTACTTCTTTTTGTTCAATTTTAAGTTTTGATCAGATTTCAGATCTTAACTATAGTATGTCGTTGAAATGATACATAATTTGCTTTGTATACATAAAATCAGGTAGTTCTCAACTTTTGCTAAATTCTTGGTTGTTGTCGTAAATTATTTGGCTGATTGATTTTGAATCAGACAACTTTGTCTATCTGAAATACCATATTCATAAGTATTGCAATCTATTACAAATAGTAGAAATGAATTTTAACATATATTTTTAAGATTACAAAACAATTTTATTACAAACATTGAACAAGTATATATAAAACATACTCTATTTTGACTGCCTTCTTCTGATAGGCAACTGCGCTGCACGTGGCAAAGAAATGTAATAATTAGATAATGATGGTTTCAAAATTAATGATGCTTGGGCAGTGGATATTCTACTTCTAGACCTTTTCTGATAGTTTGGAGGTATGTAAGTATCAAAATAAGGGGAGTTGAGTAGATCATCGATTGTTGGGCGTGATTGAGGATTTAATTCGAGACATTTACTGATCAACTTTCTCAAATTATCATCCAGAATTCTATATTTAGCAAAAACTCCTTTCGAAACAAGTTGCATTAAGGACATTTGATCTTCTGCATAGAAAGGATATTCTTTTGTTACTAAGGCGAATAATGTCACTCCAAGTGCCCATATATCTGCCTTTATAGGGTCATAACCCGATTTATTAAAAATTTCCGGTGCCATGAATAATAATGTTCCTCGGTAATTATTTGAGATTGGACATTTTTCATTAAGTATTGTGGACAAATCAAAGTTTGATAATTTGACTCTTCCATTAGCATCAAGCAAGATATTTGCTGGTTTAAAATCTCCGTGGGATATTGAGTAGTCATGGAGCACCTTTAGACTTGTAAGGATTTGAAATATAAGGTGTTGCAATTGAGAATGACTTAAATGCTCCTTAGAAGCAATGATATCATTTACCGATTTTGGACAATATTCATAAACCATGTAGATATAATCATCGAATTCTAGGAAATCATAAAGGTATATGATGCTACTATGATGCACTGATTTTAATATTTCAAGTTCTTTATTGTTATAATTCTTTTTCAAGATTTTTTTCATGGCAAAGAAGGTCTGATACTTTGTAGAGTAGACCTTCATGATTTCACAATTGGATGTCTGAGAAATGATGTTTGTGTAACTGTAGTCATTTTCTTGAAGAAAGTTGAGCTCTGTAAAGTTCATTGGAAATACAAATCTAATGGGCTCAAAGTTTGAAAGTATCTGAAATATTTGAAAGGAAACAAGACAAAATAAGAATAACATGCTTATAATACATTTTAAATATTAATGGATAAAAAGTAAACCCTCGCTATGAAAATTATAACCCCAATTTTCATAATCGAAATGGGTAATTTCTGAAAAAAATTGAATTGAAAAAATGTTCCACTTCTTTGCGAAACACCAAGAAAATTGTATATAATTGGATATAATACTAATTTCTTATTTACACTAAATGGTCAGCCATTTTTCTGCATTGAATTTTTTTTCAGTGCAGACATATTAACCATCTTGTTTAATTGAAGAATGTATACATTTTCAAAACTAAAAAATCTGAGGTTTTGAAATCCAACGTTCTGGTTAAATAAGTTCTCAATCCAAATACATCGATTTCAACACATAGCAACTTATGCTATCATATAGCTAATTTTTAAAATCATTTTTTTTCTCAAATTTTTGCATCAAATTTGAGGTTTCATATTAAGGGTTTAGATTGTACCATGTTATATACAGTAATTTACTAAATGAAAGTAATATAAAATTTTCATATTTCTTTCAATGTATGACCAATTAATATGAGATTCATACGTTTTCGGAACTATACTGAGCGATACAATCATCGACAGCTAATAATTAATTATTAATACTTTTAATATTTTTTGAATTTTATCAGTAAATTTCTATCATTTCAGCCAGAACATCCATAAACATTGACAGTGATCGCCTTAAAATGCAAAATAATCGTATTTTAAAAATCAAACATTTATTAATTTATTTATAATGAGCATTATCTATTCTCAAGACTCAGAGTCCTGGAAAGTCTATGCTGATACATTGGACTGCCAATTCTTGGGAAATTTGGACGAGGTGGAATTAAATCACCAGCGGTCCTTCCGTCTTGGCTAGATCTTCTCTCTATTGGTAGCTTGTTTGTAACGGGCTTCGACTTAATGTTGGCAAAGTAATCTAATGATAACATTTCTTCGATGGATGGCCTCTTTTCTGGATTTAGATCCAGGCATTTGGAAATAATCGACCTAAGGAGGCTACACTGTACACTTTGAAGGGCGTAGTTTCCCTTAAGGACTAATTTCTGATAAGTATGAGCGTCTTTGGAAAAGAAGGGATAACAGTGTGCAGCCATGAAATAAAACGTAACACCAAGAGACCAAATATCGGCTTTGATAGGGTCAATGGGATGACCATTGAAAAATTCAGGTGCCATGTATAATAAACATTCATAGTTACGAGGCATGGATTGCGCGCTCTTAAACTCTTCTATAGAGCATAATTGCGAAACTGTAATACGCCCGTATCTATCAAGGATAAATGCAGATGGTTTTATCTGCCCATTTTCAGGGGGGTTGCGATGATATTCTTTTACACTTATTAGAACCTCATAGCAGAGTTTCAAAAGCTGCTCTTCCGTAAGATTATGGTGAAGTTTCAAGCAATTATATAAATCTGATGGTGAATAATCTTGGAGCATGTAAACGTAGCCGTCTAACCTGTAGTAAGTATAAGGCTTAACGAAGGAAATTTGATCAATTCGTTTCATGTAATCAATAGGGTTTAGGAAATAATTTTCTTGGATGCGCTTCAAGGCATAATTTTTTTGTTCAGTGACTGAGTAGACAAGTATCAAAGATCCGAAACTGCCTTCAGCGATAACAGAACTAATTTTCAGCTGAAGTTTTTCGAAGTGATCTCTCTCTTTCTGGTTCATTAAAAATATAATCGAAATTTTTGAATCTATATTCAATAATATAATTTAATGAAATATAATAAGACTGCATAGCACACCAATAATAAATTATTATCGCCAAAACGTTAGCAATATAACCGTCGAAAATTAGAAGGCAATTGATATAATCTAATATAGAAAATGCAAATAGATGATAACCACACTTTATATATTTAAATAACATTCAAAATTGTTAATACTTTTAAGAGATGTGCTGAAAAGTTGTTTCAATTCAAAATAATTTGAGGTTTAATATTTTTGATATAATAAGTTCTACTAATGAATGAACACCATTGCATTAAATTTAATCATTACAAAATTTAATAACGTATTTTTCTTCATTATAAGTATATTCACAATCAAATATATATTTTAATCATATGACACCTAAAATATCAACGTTGAAATGTAGAAATTTTTGATATGAATTTCATCGTAAATACATAACTGTATCTACATATTTGGTAGGCTGTTCTTTTTATTTACATTTTATTAATTTACTGCACTAGCCAAATTAAAAGTGTTTACATTTTAAGGATGATTTTATTCTGATGCCACTATAGTCAACGCTTATCATATTAACACGATATTTTTCCGATATTAATTTTCAATTTTTTATTTCTCTTCAATTTCTTTAAAATCATAGAGAAAATCAAATATATATGAGTTATGTGATTTCAATCCAGTATCAAAACAGAAAGGTAAGAGTATTCGCAATGAAAATAAGGATTTTTTAATAGTAATTTTAGTAATTTCATGAAAATAATAAAGGACACTACATAAACAAATTTATATTGGAATACGAAGAACAATTGATCATCAGTTTAAGAGAATTGAGATTTGATGTTGTTACAATTAATCTTTACGGGAGAGACTATATTAATTTAGCGAATCTAGATGACAATCAGAGTTGTCCATTAAAAAAATCGAGTTAGAGTTTAATTTCGATTTATCTTTTTGTTTTTACTATAAAAGCAATATATAAACATGCGTTTAACAATATCATGATCTTTAAAAACATATCCTAAAAATATATGAAATTGGAATCCAATAGTTATTCACTTAGTGGTGGTTGTAAACTTATTGTTGAAATTGATTTTTTGATAGCCACATTAGCAACGAGACATTTTCTTTACAGAAGAACCAAACATAAGATTCTTGTATCAAATTTCATTAACCAATTAATCTTATCATTCCTTATTTTAGGATACATCAATTTGTTTCGATTTCATTTAGAAATTTACGTAAATTTTAACAAATCACGAGTGTTTGATTGCTTTCTTTATAACGGAGAAGCAGGTATGCTATACACTAGGCTTTGGAGACTTGATCCATACGTTGATAAATTTTTTATATATGCTAGTAATATTTCATTCTCAGGAGTTGAACGCAATTTATCCACCAAACCTTTTGAAGAGAAAATCAGCCAATATGAGTCTAAGATACATTGGATTACTAAAGATGCCGGATGTACCGGACGAGACAAAAAGTTTTTTGATGGAGCATGGTGCAGAGAGAATACTGCACGCAGCTCAATTTATCCTGCGCTAAAACAATATGGGCCTAACCAAGAAGATTTTATTATATTTTCCGATCTTGACGAAATACCAACGCGTTATGCAATGGAAATGCTTCAATTAGATCCTCCAGAAACAGGATACGTTTTAAAGGGCTTCACTTCATCCCCAAACTACTTTTCTTTGATTGAAAGTTGGGATATAGTCAGATACTTCAGATGGTTTTCAGATTTTAGAATGTCAACAGCAAGAGCTCTCAAATATGGCTTTTACTATCTTGAACAAGCAGCGACGCATTGTAGTTATTGTTTTGATTCTTATGAGCAATACAAACACAAATTAGCAACATTTTCCCATAAAGAATTAAATAAACCGCCATACAATACCAACAACTTTATATTTAAACAGCATTATTGCAGAACTAATACTTGGGGAAGGAGGACCGAAGAAAGATTTACAAATTTGCGTTATTTGGTTCCAAAGCATCCAAAATTAAGGTACCTATTTGATCCAACTTTTATGTTGGACATAAACAAAACAAATTACACAATTAACGACCTAGCAACGCTTTGCGAAGGTAAAAATTATCGAAGAGAACCTCTTAATGATTCTTTAATTGGCTGGGACTAATTATATTTTATTCTTTTGTTTGTAATTTTAAAATATTATCTTATTATGTACTCATTCGAAAATTTTACCACTAATGGTATCATATGACTTTATATTTACTATATGCTGAACATAAAAGGACTTTATCAAATTCATAATAGATATCTATTAATATTGATGGGTAGCTATTATGATATTTATAAAAATTTAATTCTATAAGGTGGACATGGAAATAAAATGATAAGAGAGTTGACCATATAAGGATATTATATTTATGAGTAAATATGAAAACAAAATTGAATAATATACTCACGTATTTAGCTAATATAAGAGTTAAAAAATAAGCTTTGACAACGAACTTGGACAAAGTCCAAACCTTTTAATTTATTTTATATAAAACTTTTGAGCCAGATTACATGTGATGCTTTAACCGTGCATTATACAGACATTTTAAAAGCAATGATAAAATAATCCGTGCTAAGTTTCATTCAATTTGTATTGTTTTAGAGCCAGTTAAATATGGTATTTCGTAATTGTAATCCAAAGCAATAAATTCACGCAGTTTCATTTTAATATATGATAAAATTATATTATGAATTAAAATTAAGACTAATTTTGAAGTTTAATTTCTATTTTTTGGCATAGATGTTAATATTTATTAGCTTTTCCGAATTATGCCTGATTAATGATACCTGTAAAGTACTCACAAAATCTAGATTGAGAGGCGGTCAATGACTTTTGAGGGGAAATTAACGCATGGAATTTAATATTATTTAGGTTGATATTCTTGCTTATTATTTCAGAAAAAAAATCTTAAAAATTTCAATATGAAAATTGAAAGCAATTCAAAAAAATTGCTAACATGTAAATTTTAATATCCTATGCATAATTTCATAGTTTGAAGATTTTTTATTTTTGTTTAAAACTTAAAATTTTGCGAATTTAATATAATTTATAAAATATAATACGTATATATATTTAAAATACACTAAATTTAATTGTTAATTGACGTTTTTGGGAATGAATTTTATCAAAACATGCCTGAATCCGAAAATTTGAAAGAACGAATTACACAATCATATATGTAGAATTCAAAATACAAACTTAAAGATTGTATACGTTTAAAATTATTCAGATTGTGTTTGATTTCCACTCATTCTGTTTCTTTTGAACTCTAACACTAACATTTCATGATGATTACATGATCCATTTATACATGGTTGAATTGTTTCAGATTCTACCAGAAAATCAATCCAAATTTCTCAATGCATTCATGTTGATTGGACAAAATTTAAAATTTATCAGCCTGTTTCCAGAGAAACTCATATATTCCCTAATAAAATATAATTTTTGCTACATTTATTTCAATCAAATTTCAAAAAATTGACTGCAGAGCTTGAAAAGGTGATGAATCATGTTGTTATTAGATGTACATATTAGATTTACTATTTCCAAAAAAATGCTCAAATTTGAATAGTTTTTAGAAAATTTGGAATTACACTCCTTACATTATATATAATTAAATGTTTAAATTTTATTTATTTTTCCCTTTTAATTTTATAACGTGCTCTATCAAAACTAACCTCTCAATTGAAGGCCACAAAATCTAAGTAGTGAGGGTACACAAATTTTGTATGGAGTATGGTTCAATTTTTGAGAGTCTCACTACTTAGATTTTGTGACTACCTTAGCATTTCATTTTTTAAATTGCAGAAAATTGTTACTATATATTAATCATAATTTTACATAAAAACAATAGTATCCATTTCATCAAAAAAATTGAAAAGATTATCAACTTCACAATTTTTTGCTAGCCAAGACTTTATTCATTTATTAATTTATAATATTATGAATACAGTGATCGACTTTTTGGCATTTTTCAATCATTGACTATTTGATTTATTTATCTTTGTTTTTACATGGAAAATAACCAAATCAACCAACTTAAATTCGGCCATTCAATACAAATTCAATGCATTCTTTCAAAAATTGAATTTCACATAAATTATATATCGGCGTGCTGTTGAAGATTATTTGCTCTTCATATCCAAATTAAGGATACCCTTACGTGTCAGATTTTTTGCGCATACGAAGAAGTCATGCTAGACATGAGCTATAAACCTGAAATTTTAGCAACATATTTAAAACTTTTTAAACTACAATACACTTTAATATTCAAGAACAAAAATATTCTTTTTAGAAATTACATAATTATTTTATGTGAAATCTATATAAAAACATATTTTGCGAGCGTAACTTTTTTCTTTATAAGCACCTTATATGACTGATAAACTGTGAAGGCACATAATTGTTAATTCATAGAGTTGATATGTTTCCAAAATTGAGAGGAAATTTGAAAATTGAATACCCTTTCAATTCAATTTTCAAAAGATATCAGCTCCTTCAATAATTGAAGGACGATTTTGATCATTTGCTCTTAAAACAAGTATGACATGGAGAAAAAAGTTACGCTCGCAAATCTGAAATATAACTATCATATAAAAAAATTAAATTTCTAATTTTTTACTCTATAGATATTATTGGCCACTTGTGTAATGCATAAAAGTTTATGTCATATGCATACATTTGGAAGTATGGGAGACGAGGGAAATTACTTCTATGAGGCACTAGGATTTTTAAAAATTTCTCTATCGGACTCACCATTCAATTTCTCGAAAATTAAAAAAAATCAATAATAGCTAAAATGTATTATGCATAACAAATTTTAATGTTACACGGTATTTTTTGAACTTCATGACATGAATTTTCTTTATATTATTATTTTTTTTTGGATTTTCTATGATTTATGCGATAGGCTGGAACAACATTGTAAGTGCAATGATATCATTTATAGAGAAATCTAAAACTTCAGCATTCAGAACTCGCAACCACAAAAATATTCATTTGCTAAGTAAGTAAAGTTGATTAAGTTCGACACTTAGCTTTTATACGTAAAACCAAGTGTGTATTATTATTTCTTGTTAAATTATTGAGAAAAAAATAAATTGTAAGAGAAACGATACTGATTATTGAAATAATATTGAGGGTAGCTGCAGATTTCTTCATTAACATGCCGGAAATTTGTTAATCTTGGTTTTCTATCATAAAATCTGTCGAAGAATCTAAAAACGGAGATATGAAATAGAGATCATGTAAATCTAGAGTATCCTGTCAGAAAAATAGACTAAGCATGTAACCCTTTTTTGGTCATAAACACTTTTTACCACTTAGTCATACAGATGATCATTAAATTTAAACGAGCACTTTTTGTCAGAATTTATTCTTTTACAAAGACAGAAGATTTTAGTATTATTTAATATTAGTGCTGTAGCAAAATTCAAAAAACGGTGAAAATTCAGTGAATTTTTGAATTCACATTTTTTTTCGACATTTTTCTTGATATATCCATGCACATTAAGAACACAGCTTAGATACGCTTAAAAAAGCATATTTCATATGAAATTGTTAAAGAAATAAACAATTTATATAAAAATTGCACTTATGGGCAGTTTAGATATATATTTATATATAACATATATACAAATCCATAGACAAAGTGCAATAACTACAATGTTGTAGAAAATTACAGCAGAAATACTGATTTTTGAAGAGATAATAGAATTCTTCTAGATGTTGTATTTTTATAATTTGATTGATTTTTTTTACTATTTCATTAATCTTTTATGAATAATAATTATTTTTAATATATGTGCTATTAAAATTTCAAATTTTGACTAATATATCTAAGTTATCTGAACGAAACATTTAGAAAATATCATACTTACATTGAAATAGCAAGTAGAGCATATTAATAGCAAATTTCTTGGCTTATATCTATCATCTATTGTTGTTTGATCAAACAAAATTCACTCTATTATATGGTGTCAATTAATTAAAACAATTTTTAATAGTTATTTATTTAGTGCGAATAAGTGCAAACTCATAAATGAATAACTTAATAGTAGAAATGAATTATCTGATATAAATCTCACATTTTGTCCATCAGAAATACTTTAATTGCATACGCATAACTATTAGTAATACGTCTGGAGTGTCAATTAATAACAATCCCACAACAAGTAAAATTCAGATTTTTATTAAACTTATTTTTTCCTAAAAGTTTTCTCAAATTACTATATATACATATGTGGATAAAATAATAGTAATATTGTAAAAAATTAGATAATTTTTTTTTATTTGAGAACCTCTCAAAAGTTCATTCAATTTATCAATTGTTTCAGTTTGATGTATATTCATTTCTGGAGCCTAAAACTTTAGCAATCATGACAATATCATATTCTCTTTCTAACTACGCAATGTAAGGGTATCCTTAATAAAAATTACGAAAAGATTTATTACAATTTTAATTCAAACTGTTGCTTCACAATATTTTCTGTGACATTGTGATTAACCTCAGTAATCATTTGCAATCTGTTCTATCATATATGATTAGTAAATGTTGGGTTCGAATCGTAAATAATTTACCGTACCTTGAATAACCGGCGAACCATTCAATTGGTCATAGACCAATTTGAGACACCCTTTTCAGAGGAATCTAAAATGTTGTTTATATGGTTATTTATATATTATTTAATCATTTTCTTAAATAAAAATCATAAGTTCTCAATTTTTCTTCATAACGATTCTTATAAATTTTAATGTTTTTACTATGAGTGCTAAATATTATTAAATACTAAATGATTTTAAAAAGAAAAAACATGTTTTTACTTTGTACGTTAACATACGTTAATATCACTTCGGCTATGGATAGAGGCCAACAGCGCCTTATTAATGAGAAAAACATTAGCCTCTTATCAATGAGATGGAAGTGTATTCATGGATTACAATTGTGAATTCAGATACACTTCCATCTCAAAAAATGCAATCAAATTTGTATTGAATTGCATTTTTTGAATACATGCTATTGGCAGTTGGGTTTTTAGTGCATTTATATTATATTGGTACTAATGCTTTTGGAAAATTTACAAAATAAATTTAATATTTTGTAAATGTTATCGGTTCTTACGCTTTTGGAAGGAGGGATGGTATTTTTGGAGCATTTATATTACATTGGTACTAAGGCTTTTGGAAATTTACAAAAAAATTTAATATTTTGTAAATGTTATCGGTTCTTACGCTTTTGGAAGGAGGATGGTATTTTTGGAGCATTTATATTACATTGGTACTAAGGCTTTTGGAAAATTTACAAATAAATTTAATATTTTGTAAATGTTATCGGTTCTTACGCTTTTGAAGGAGGGATGGTATTTTTGGAGCATTTATATTAATTGGTACTAAGGCTTTTGGAAAATTTACAAAATAAATTTAATTTATTTGTAAATGTTAATCGGTTCTTACGCTTTTGGAAGGAGGGATGGTATTTTTGGAGCATTTATATTACATTGGTACTAAGGCTTTTGGAAAATTTACAAAATAAATTTAATATTTTGTAAATGTTATCGGTTCTTACGCTTCCTCTCTTGATCAAGATGCTTCCTCTCTTCAACAAAGTACTTCCTCTCTTCATCAAGATGCTTCCTCCTTTCTTCAACAGTACTTCCTCTCTTGATCAGTGCTTCCTCTCTTCACAAGTACTTCCTCTCTTCATCAAGATGCTTCCTCTCTTCATCAAGATGCTTCCTCTCTTCAACAAAACTTCCTCTCTTCATCAAGTGCTTCCTCTTCAACAAAGTACTTCCTCTCTTCATCAAGATGCTTCCTCTCTTCATCAAGATGCTTCCTCTCTTCATCAAGATGCTTCCTCTCTTCATCAAGGTGCTTCCTCTCTTCAATCAAAGTACTTCCTCTCATTCAAGGTGCTTCCTCTCTTCATCAAAGATGCTTCCTCTCTTGATTAAGTCCTCTCTTCATCAAGATGCTTCCTCTCTTCATCAAGATGCTTCCTCTCTTCATCAAGGTGCTTCCTCTCTTCATCAAAGAGCTTTCCCTCTTCATCAAGGTGCTTCCTCTCTTCATCAAGATGCTTCCTCTCTTCTTCAAAGTACTTCCTCTCTTGATCAAGTGCTTCCTCTCTTCATCAAGATGCTTCCTCTCTTCATCAAGGCTTCCTCTCTTCATCAAGATGCTTCCTCTCTTCAACAAAGTACTTCCTCTCTTCTTCAAAGTGCTTCCTCTCTTCATTAAGTGCTTCCTCTCTTCATCAAGATGCTTCCTCTCTTCATCAAGTGCTTCCTCTCTTCTTCCTCTCTTCATCAAGTGCTTCCTCTCTTCATCATGCAGCTTCCTCTCTTCAACAAAGTACTTCCTCTCTTCATCATGCAGCTTCCTCACTACATCATGCAGCTTCCTCTCTTCAACAAAGTGCTTCCTCTCTTCATCATGCAGCTTCCTCTCTAAATCAAGGTGCTTCCTCTCTTCATCAAGATGCTTCCTCACTCCATTATGCAGCTGCTTCTTTTCTTCATCAATTCCTCTTCACCCTGGAGCTCCTCAGCTTTATATCATTTTAATTGGATTTTTTGAAATCCACCTGCAGTAGGATAAAGGAGATGTAACTCACGACTAAGAACCTGGCCATATGCTCCATTCCAGGCCAAAACAGATTGCATAGCCACAAACAGATTGAAATACCAATCCTGTTGCTGCATGGGGCGTCCATATTCCATTTGGAAGACTTGCATCATCACATTTGGATCTGTAAGGACTTTGTCGTTGACAAAATTGGGCCTTGCAGGAGGAACTCCATTTGCTACAATGTATCTGGAAGCAAGAGGTTTGTTCATATCCAATGGATAGATTCCTGTTGCTTTAAAAGCATTTTCGATGTTTGTAGCTGTGCAAGACACACTACATGCATCAAGGAAGCTGCGAACCATGATATAGCGCAGTTCTCTGGCGTTCCATACATAATTGATCACCATATGCCCTTGCTGATCGTACCGGATAGTCGCCATATCAAACAACTTCTTGAATTGGGCCTTCAAGGGAGAAAAAATCCCAACATCAAGAGGTTGTAAGATATGAGATGTATGGCCTGGGAGAACAAGAAGCTCGATATTGAAGGCGCTCAAGAGGCGAACGGCCAAGAAAGAGAGCCTGGATGGATGACCATCTACAATTAGGAGAAAAGGTACCTGGGCATCAAACACATTCATTTGAGACCTTTTCTCCTGTACTTTGCAGATGAACATGATACAGTATACCATAAAAAGGTATTTGTTCATCCATCCACTCTCGGAGCGAACAAAAAAAGGCGTCCAGATCTTCCAATTCCGCATCAAGGGTCTTCTTTTGTGGAAGTATCACCATTGGCTTCATAGTTGTACCATCTGCAAAGATGGTACAGACCCCTGTAAGATGTGGAAGCTGAGACTTTTCAGCGCGAACTGGGCGATTCCGGCCAGCAGTAAGAACTTTATAGCGACGTTTGGAATAGAGCATTGTCTCGTCCATATTCGCAATAAACTTCTTCCTGCGGGCAAAGTATCTATGCTTGGAGAGGAAAAATTGGCGAATATGGTTTGCGTCACAGGTAGAGCGTCGGAGCATATCAATAGTTTGGGAGCTCACAATCCGAATTGACAATCTTGTGGCGATATGATTAAGCCAGCCACGGGATGGCGATGGGCAGTAATCATCGAGCTTCGCTAGAAGATGCGGGCATCTTGCAGCGATTAGTACCCGCGCCGCAAATTTTAATCTCCTATTTTGTAATTCCGTACAGACAGCAATGGCCATTGATGTTGTAATACAGTTCAAGTCGTCTGCCATCTCTTGAACAAGTTTTTTGAACTGCATTTCATCTGGTAGTGACAAAAGGGTCATACCACCCCCTGACTGACCTTTTGCCCATGAACGACAAGTAGCAGTGCGCATGATTGCGCGTGCTACTGTCGTCTTTGAAATTGAGTAAACATTCCGTATTTGTTGATAAGACTCGCCATTTACTCTTCGATAGAGTAAATCGAGTTGCATCTGGGTCAATAGCCCAAGATTTTTATAGTTTTCTAATTCTGCAAACTCGGGAATTCGTGTTCTTGGTTGCATTTTTTTTTAAACGGGAACTTCACAAATTTTGTTCATGGCCATAAAAACTCATTCAATTTTTCTGAGATTTTTTTCGTCACTCACTCAAAACGCAGAGGACCATTCTTCTCAAAATTGAATTATTTTCTCAAATATTGAGTGAGTAAAATGGGCACGTTGTGTAAATTGATTCAAAATTTTTTATTGGTACACGACCTTTGAAATTGGTCTCGGGCTATTCAACCTACGGTACAAATAAAATTTCTGAAATATTGTGGCACTCTGAAAATATTACCAAAATGTTTTTATTGTCTTTCTTATTTATTGCCATTAATGAGAACCATTATTTTCGCGGTAATTGGTCAGCAAACTTAACCATATTACAGAACATATCTCGTGTCCAAAGATCCCAATTTCACATCGAAATCCAAGATCCAAAACCTTTCAAAAATCTATATTCCGTAGATGCTGTCGCTGCATTTACAAATACTACACTTATTAGATTTCCAAAGTACCGTATGAACTTCTATGGCTTGTTTGATAAAGAAAATTCAATGTATTTTTTGGCAGCATTCCCATATGTCAAAAATATATCAGCTGAAATGATTTATGATATGGTAAACAAATCATCATACTTCAACACATCCCGATTCCTTCAAAATCCAAAGAAAATTTACACAAATCTTGTCCATAGATACGAAAGAAATGCCAATACTACACCTATTGTTGCATTATCTTTCACAGTGACCAAGAATGACCTACTAAATAACACTTTTGACCTTCCGTACTTCATGGATGGAGTCGTAATCTTGCCAAATCAATCAGTCGCGTTCACAGGCAAGCTATTTAACGTTCCATTTTACATCCAAGAGGGTATGATCTTTGGAGTAATGACGGCAATTATTTTGGTTTTGAATTATTTGGCGTGGAACTCATTAAGAACCAATTTTGAGTCACAGAGTTCGTTAGAGTTACTATCAGCTCACACATTTATCCTCAATTTCAGCTTTGATTTTGCTTACAGTTTGTTCATTTTTGAATTCTCCATGAGCATTTGGAGATTCATTTTCCTTTACGGGTTCCTCTTTTTTGTTACTGTAATTTTGTTTTTCGCCATCCAAATGGTCCAAATCAGCAGAATCTGGCGGTCACAGAATCCAGACACTTATGAAGGTACAGGTAATGATTTCAAGAGTATATTCTTTGGTTTCTTCACGGAGATATCATTTACGATGTCCGCAGCAAGTATTGCATTAAGTGCAATTTTCCAGTTCCCCAAAGTCTCTATCGCCTACTTATACTCGTTCTTTATACCACAAATAGTCCATTCCATCTTCGCACCTTCCCGTAAAAAGAACGATAACTTATTTGTTGTCTTAATTTCTATTGTTCGTCTATCCCCGATATGGTATTTCTGTCTTTACAAGAATAACTTGATAGAATACTATAACCCGAAGATTGCTTTATACGAAACTTTGTATGTTTTCGTTCAAGCTCTTTTTGTTCTATTACAGAACAAGTTTGGCCCAACATTTTTCTTGCCATCAATCCTCAAACCAAAGAAGTTTGACTACCACGCCGGTGAACTTCCCCCTGATACTGAATGCCCCATTTGTATGATGAAAATCAAGGAAACAGACACTTGGATGATGACTCCTTGCAATCACTGCTTCCATGAGGAATGTCTGGCAAGATAGATGCAAGAAGAAATGATTTGCCCATTGTGCAGAGCTGAACTTCCTCCATAATCGAAATATTTCATTTTTTGTTTACGTTTTTGTTTGTTTTTAATACTAGTAAATTGTTTTGTATAAACTATTATTACCATTTTCAGTCTTCGGCATGATATAGTAACACTTCCTTCCGATTCCTTGCAATCGTTTTAAGAAATCCTTTGCTCAATCCATTAAATATACTTTAGTCATCATATATGAACGAATGGTACCTTTCAAATCGATATTTTCACTTTACCGCGATTATTTAATTTGAATCTGAATTAATTTCTTATCCATGGTTCATTTTGACTGAAATATAGCTTGTGTTAAAGGTAAATATTAGAATGAATTAATAAATAACAAACAAATTTTATTTTTTAAAACAAACAATAAATTATTTTCTGTTATCCATGAAAAATCCTTTAACTGTCCTCATCTTGAATGGAATTAATGAGGAGCGGTCGTGGATTTTGCCTCTTAAGCTTGTAATTGGCTTAACAATGATTGAATTTTGGGACTGAGTAACTTTGATTCCAGCAGCTTTCTTATGCATACGGCGTGAGACCAAAGGATCGAAAAATGGCAATGAAAGTAATTCATCAACGCTTGCTCTGTTTTCTGGGTCAACACACAAGCAACGACCGATAATATGGCATAGATCTTGATTTTCTATGTTGAAATAGGAATAAACACCAGTTTCAACAATCTTTTTCAAAACATTTCGATCAGTTGCATAAAATGGGTACTGCTGTGTTGCCATGTAGAAGAAAGTAACTCCAAGAGCCCAGATATCGGCTTTTAATGGATTATAGTCCTTGTGATGGAATAGTTCTGGTGCCATAAAGAGCATTGTTCCTTTGTAAGTGGATTTGCACTTGGAATCTTCATAAACGGACGATAAACTGAAATCGCATACTTTTATACGGCCATATTTGTCAAGCAAGAAGTTGGATGGCTTAATATCGTTGTGAGCAATATTATGATCATGGCAAGCTTTAATGGAAAGAAGGATATCATAGCAGTACTTTCTAAGTTGTTCAATTGAAATTTCTGGATTCTTTTTCAAGAAATGATAAAGATCAAACGGGCAATATTCCATTAAAAGATAAACGTATCCTTGAAATCTGTAATAATTGTACAAGTTGATAATATTAGGATTATCTAGCGTTTTGAGGCATTCGATCTCTTCTTCTTTGAATCGGTCTTCTGGAATCTTTTTCAGGGCAAAATGCTGCTGATACTTCGTGTGGAAAACAAGGTAAATAACTCCAAATCCACCTTCTGCAATAACTCTTGTAAATTCAATTCCCATTTTTTCAAAAAATTCACGCTCTTCCTCGTTCATTGCAAAGAGTGATTCAAAATAAAGAAATATTTTTCAGAAAAATCGTAATAACTTAATGATAAGATCTCTTATTTGAGCATATTATTAACAATAAACTTATCCTTTTCGTGTAAAAACGCATTGAAACATGCTCACAGAAATATCCAAACTATTCAAAATGATATTGCATTTATTTTTGCAGACAGCATTCCACAAATATAATATCCATAGTCATAAAAAAATAGAAGTATTGAATTTATTGTGGGAATTTCAATGTGTTTTTTCAATTAATACGAAAGCAATAGAAACAAGTGAACAGTTATACACAGTTGGTCACCTAGGATTTTTCTGGTTAAATCATACATATATAAGCCAGCCTGAATGTTTATTCATTTTTATTGTATTTTGAAACAACACGTTATATATTGACAAGTTTAATTCAAAAAATTGTTATCAATATTTCATATCTATATTTATTTAGAAACAATTCCTAATTCAATTTTATTTTTGTAAATGAATCTGTATCAAAATTTATCTCGAGTTAAATAATAACAGTATACTCGTAAATATAAACAAATCACTTTTTATGTAATCTTCAAGTTTTCTTTCAAAAATCGAGGGAAAAAATAAAGGTACGGACACTCTTTAACCTTATTTTATTTAAAACTGCTAGGATATTTTCAAGGATCATATCTCCCTATGTATTTTATTAAGCAAGCCATCATTGGGGCAATGCAATAGAACATAGCAATCTATACTTTGTAATAGGATGTTAACTCGAATGATCCCTCTTTGGATTGATTATATTTTACAATTTCAGTAAATGTCGTTAAAAACTATTCACAGTAATAGGGTAGCTTCCAAAATTATTAGAACCAAGAATTGCGTTTACAAAAGCATAGATTAAAAAATGAAATTTCGATTCGATAGTATCCAACCAAAATTTTTGTTAGATAATCAGATATATAAATCGCATTCAAATGGTAAATGCACCGTTGAAATATACAGTAAATCTGTCAATACAATTTTTGTGTAGAGATTAAATTGCGATGTTAAAATGCATTGATGCAGTTTTGCAGAAGTGTTTTGACTTTCCTTACCGAATTATATTTGTTTGCCAAACAATTACTTGGATTTCATGAGGTTCATTCCAAATTGAAAATTGAAATCTTATCACACTGTTATTGCTTGATATCATAATCAATAACCATTACCAGGAATTAACGAATACATTTAGATACATTTATTATATTGACTTGTTGTTATAGAAATAAAATCATTATTAATTTATCTGCAATTTGTATGATATATATCATTTTATCATAATTTCTGAGATTTGACCAGCTTTAAGTTGAAGAATGAAAAAATTTCTATCAGAATCAAAAAAAAATTGCAAATTTGCACTTCAAAATGATTGAACTTCAAAATCTGGATAATAATACAACAGATTGGTTTTCCAAAAAATATTCTAAATCTATTTTTTCAGGTGAAAAATCAAATATTTGATTCTCATTTTTCTTTTTTTTAATTTTTTTGGGAATTTTCAACTATGACTCAGAGCAGAAAGAGTATCGCAACTTTATTTAATAGCATATAATATGATGAGTTATATGTTTATTTTATACTCATATTTTTGATCACAAATATCTTACCAAATAATATGAAATTTTATAACAAATGTATTACAGTGTTCACAAATATGAGCTAAATCAGTAAAACACGTCGATGAAAAGAGTATAAAACAGATTTTTAGTCTATTTATTTTCATATTACAAGTTTCAACATGCAATGCTAAAATTGTAGTAGACATATGAGATCATTGAACTTGTTAGTACTAAGTGCATGATCAAGAAAGCTTCAATTTTATACCAATATTGTAAATTGAATCAAATATACGGCATTATATTGATATATAATTCGTTTTATGATATAGCACTGCTATGCTACTTGTACTGGATTGTACTATCGTGATATTTAAGAGATTTTTCTCGATGATTCTGGATGATGATATAACTCTAGATTGTATTTGCCGATTTTCTCCAAACTACGTATTCTACATATGCATAATATATATAGCCTGCAGCTGGAGTTTAAGGCCAAAATTTTGGTTAGAAGGGAGTGTCCGTACCTATATAAAAATTCTATCCAAGTTGAGTTTTCATTGGTTCATATGATTCTACATATACAATCACGCAATTAATTGATCTCAAACTCACTTCACATCAGTAATAATAATTGAATTACATCTAAAGTTCATTGTTTTATTTTTGCGAATAATCTAATTAAGTCCTCTTTTTCACTAGCTAACTTACAACCTTCTGAATTAAGGGTGAGAATCTATCACAAAATTATTCGTGCTCTTTAGCATCGAAATCAATACTGATGATCGAATCTTATGAATTAATATATCCAAGTGCTTTCTGTTTTCTTATTTTAATAAAATTGGATCATGCATTTCAAATTCTGATTGATAAACTATATCAAAGATATTTCTTATATTATATTATATCATCCAATATGGCAAAAAATGGAAAAGAAACATTACCGTGAAGGTAATGAATATCGCAGTGCCATATCAAATTCTTTGATATGGCACGATATTTGGTAGGTGGATCTGCTGGTTTGTAATCTCTTTTTGAAGATAAACCTGATTCCATCATAAATTTTTCCACTTGATGATGCTTTATTTTTTGTAAATTGTCAAAAATTTGATCTTTTGTCAAATCTTCTATATTTTCAAATTCTTTTGCAATTTCTTCTTTTTCTTTCTCACAATCGGGATTTTGAGCAATATTTTGAAACCTTTTAATCAATAAATAAGTTTTTGAAATTCCTCCTTTATATTGTGAAACACAAGAATTAATTAATTGTTTTTGCTCAAATGTTGGTGGATTTGGTTTTCTGCCGCGACTAACTTTTGGTAATTCGATTTCTTGAAGTTGAAATGCTCTTCTTATTGTATTTTCGGCAACATTCAATTTAATTTTACCATTTTCCAATTCAACTTCCTTTCCCACACTTTTGTAAGATTCACCTTCTTCTATTCTTCTTTTAGCTTCAAATAGCCATTCTCTGTTTATAGATTTGGCAGTAGTCATAAAAGTGGTCCTTCTTTTGTGATAAAATTCAAATTTGAATGTGGATGATAAATAAAAATCAAAAATAATTGTTATAATTTAAATGAAGAAGTAATTTAAAACGATTTTATTTATGATCAAATTTTATATATTTTTTTGGATCAAATCCATTTTAATAGAATTTATATACTATTCATCTATTAGTAAACACTACCGTATATTATTTTTTAAGCTATCTTATTTTTTGAACTTTTATTCAAATCTTTGGTCGCAAGAAGAATTGCATGATAAATAAAAACATTTAATCAAAGTCAATTTTATTTTTCATATTCAAATGGACTGAGTGTTAACATTTAACATTTTTTGCTAATTGTCGTCAAAAATTAGGCGTAAAGCAAAAATTGATATTTCATATGGGAGAAAGGGACAGACTAGCCCATTGTCACTTTTTAATTTAGCAAATGAACGCTTATGGAGTGGAGTTTTTGGGTAAATCTGATTTGCTTATAAATGAAATAAAATCAAAAGAAACCATATTGGCATTATATTATGCAAAAATAAATGATCTTACTTAGTACTTTTAAAGTTAATTTCAGAAAAAATTTGACACAATGGTATCCGGCACATACAAGTGGTGTACAACCAAAATATAAGTTGGTTTAAACATATATTGCTATATCTCATGATCTTACTTAGTACTTTTAAAGTTAATTTCAGAAAAAATTTGACACAATGGTATCCGGCACATACAAGTGGTGTACAACCAAAATATAAGTTGGTTTAAACATATATTGCTATATCTCATGATCTTACTTAGTACTTTTAAAGTTAATTTCAGAAAAAATTTGACACAATGGTATCCGGCACATACAAGTGGTGTACAACCAAATCTTCGACTCGATGAACTTGTCATCGAGTTATATTCCAGTGTTGTTCCTTCATTCCTGATTAAGTTGCAAATTAAAGGTCTGGATTCAGAGAGAAGTGTTAAAGTTATCAAAAAAGTCACAAGAGATTTCGAAGAAATGACACAATTTAAAAAAGTCGAATGCATCAGTATGCTTGAAGCTGTTCAGAAAGGTCTGAAAAATGATACACTTGATCCCAACATTGTTTACTCAACATTAAAAATATTATTGCAAAGAAAACATTTGATTTAATAAACATTTAATTTATTATAATTAATTTTTTATTACAGTATAGTAAAAAAATGCTATAAATAAATTATTATATTTTATTAAAATGTGACTTTTAATAGTAAGTGAATAAAATAAATCAGGAATTGGGAAAGAAATAAGGTTAATTAAAAATAATGAAAATTACAAGTTTAAGGTTAATGAAAAAGTGACAATGGGCGAGTTTGTCCCCCACTCTTTCATATGGTTTTATGATAGATAAGCATTATATTCCCACTCATTATATTCGTAAATTTTGAGGTTTATCCTTCGCTTTTAAGATCATTGAATTTGATTTTTATAAGGGTTTCGTTTTGCGAAAAAAACGTACAATACGCAATTTCGCTAAAAAACATTTAGCTAGCAATTTCGACCTTTGACTCCACTCAAGACGTCACTTTTTTAATTTTGCGGTATCATATTTTTGGAAAATCTTTATGAATATTATATAAAAAGTCTCTTTAATATCTATATTTCATATTTTTATCGATTTTAAAGTTTTTGCGAAAAGTATTCAATTATTTTTGCTATTTGGTCGGGTAAATGTCAGATTTGCGACATTTTCGGATATGATATTCAGATTCTACGTTGATAATAATGCTTATAGAACCCTCTTGCTATTGTGTCAAAATTGCGAAACCGATAGCAAAAATATCTCGCAATATCAAAATTGAGATATTGAGTGAATTCTGCATTATAGAGATTAAAAATCTGATTTGTGAAAACATCTCATCAGTTTCTAGCTAATTCAAAAATCTTTACTATCTTA